AATATAAGGCTGCATCTCTATACCTGAAACAGCCAAAAAGAAACATTCAGAAGAAAATGGTCATTAATATACACAATATACTTAGATCTGGTACATTGAACTTACTGACAAGGATGAGAATATTAAATTTAATTTAAATTTTAACATGAAAGTATCACTAAAAATAAAAAAACCCACCCAGACAAAACATTCTAAATGTGCAATGATTTAAAGAAAAAAATAAATTGAAGATCTCACCCATCTGGATGGAGATTTCTCCAATTGCCCAGGTAGCATTGTTACATACAGAAATGAATTCAGGGTTTAGGTTGGTTCCCAAGATGGGCATGAAATCAGCTAGGAAGAACAATATTTTAAAATCTCATCACACAATACAACCACCTTGCCCCATTACTGTAAGATCATGGCAGGGAGGAAGTGTTGGGGAGAACCAAAAGTTTTTTAAAAAGCATGTAAGTACATTTAAATTCTTGTAAAGCATTCCACATGAATTAGCAAGAGCTGTATTTAACCTGAATTTTACAACCTAACCAAATCAATGCAAATATTTTCAAACAATGATTTAAAAATATTTCTAATAGGCTTTAACTTTATGTAACTCTAGAAACCTTTTTTCTCCTCTTCCCAGGGGTGGGGGAAGAAAAAACACACCTGGATAGATATGTATTCAGCTGTGCTAAAAACACCCAAAACAACATCCCCTCCCCCAACCAAACCAAAAAAAGCAAATAAAAGAAAACAGAACCAAAACAACAACAAAACCCCAAACACAACACCACCCCACCAAAAAAAACAAACAACAGCCAACAACAATGAAGCCTTGAAGGCAAATCACAGCCTTGATTAAATTTTAATAAATGATATCAGTGACAAAGAGAGATTATAACATCTGCCAAATAAATTTTAAATTCCAAGCCTATCCAAGCTTTCATTTGTAAAGTTAAGTGTGTCTCAAGAGTATCTGAGGGAAGAGACAATGAACGTTGTGGAAGTGTATAACTCATGATACTTCCCTAATGAAATTAAAACCAAACCAAACAAAAAAAAACCCCACAAAACCTACCCTCTAGCCAAATTTTCTAATTTCAATATATATAAATTATATGTAACAATATATTCTAGTAGAACAAAAAAAGCTACAAATTCAAGAATTTTTCAAAGAAAGCACCTGTTCTAATTGAAGTCCAAATACATCTGTTTTGCTGTATTCCAGCACTACAGGAAGCATGTTACATTATAAAAATCAAGCAGCAAAATGAACTTTTGCACTGCCTACAAAAAAACAACATGACTTAAACACAGTTCAAAGGAGAAAAGACTACACATTCTTGATGATAAAGGAAAATGAAAACTTGCAACACCATGACAAGGCAAGCCACAGAAAAGGGAACCCAACAATAGCTAAACAAGCCTCTTATCAGTTTGTAAAACATGTTAATTATTTAATATGTAAAAGGAACATACCGATGCAAGGATTAACGTGCTGAAAACACACCTTTGTCAGATCACCTAACAGTGCAAAAGAACTTTGCCGTACCTCAGGCATTTTATCCTAAAGAGGGGAAGAAAAAACACTGACAATTCTAGCAGTGTTTCCGATTCTCTTAAGAAAGAAAATCCTTGGATTAAACAGGTTACTCATCTCACCTGCATGCATTGGTACATTAGTGTCAGGATATTGCTACGAGCCACTAGCTGTTCAATGTTGCCTCCAAGTCCTTCAGCTAAACCACTGAGTAAATCAAGAGCTACAATCATGAAATCTTTATCTGGAGCCTCATATTGGTCTGGCTGAGCATTGTGCAACTGCAACAAATAAGTGCGCATTTTCAAAATGAGTATTAGATTTTCTTAGGGGTATGCATAAAGTAAAACCAAAACAGTTTCAGAACTGCAGCTTCATTTAAATATTCAATGGTTAATACTACAAATCTCTCTGCAAACACGTAACTTTATATAGTTAATACATTGGTTTAAGGAGATAGCCTGAAAATATTGGAATAGCAATTGAAAAATACCATGGCTTGTGCAAGAGTCTTCTGCACCAGATTTACACAACGCTGGTACACAGGTTCACAGTATGGAAGAAAGCCAGATTGCAAGGCAGTAGCAACTGATGACAGGCACTAAAATAAAATAAAATAAATTTTAAAAAAGCAAGAAACACACACTAACTTTCCTCACCTCCCAGAAGTACCTTTTACTTAGGAGAGGTAAATTAAAAGCATTTTAAATATACCCACAAAGTAACCAATTAAGTAAAAATAACCTAGAAAGGCAGTACTGATTAGCTGAGCCCAAGGCAACTGTTAGTTAATTGTTACACTCTCCTACATACATCAGGTGACAAAATTTCTCAGAAGCATCATCTTCTTAGAGGTGGCCAAGAAAGTTCATATGAAGACAGTTAATATAATTCAGCTTGTACTTACACTAAACTTCAGTATCCTGACCATGTACAAGCCCTAACATTACCCAAGAGTTATGAAACAGTTCTCTAGAACTGTTTTCCTGCTTTGCACTATGAAAGTACAGGGAATAGACTACATAGTCTGGTTCATACCTTCAGCCTGTCTGATAATAATTTTAATGGAGGGATGAAAGGAGAGCAAGGACAGAAGACAAGAACAACAGGGGGATGGAACAATTTTTTTTAAAAAAGAATCCTAAAGAAAACACTCAATGGCAGAAAAAAAAATCTAAAATAAATCTGCTAATCCTAATGACATTTCCTCAGTCACAAGATTTTCTCACTACAGTCATAATATTTTCTCCATAATGGGAAATACTCAACACTGTCTGTTTTTATAGTCACACTTCCTAGTAGGAGCATCTTGAGTAATAGAGGCAATTCCTAAAAGAAGTTGATAAAACATATTCAAATTTAACATTTACCTCTAATAAAGGGAAGAGATCTTTATCTTCATCCTTCAACATGTTCCACTTCTGGATTAATGGAGGCATTAGCATCTGAATATATTCCTGTTTAGGATAAAAATGTATCAGCTACTGAAACACTTCATTGCATACTAGTTTATTTCAAAGCTAGAAAATTGATATATTAAGAATTGATATATTCTACTTTTTCAGCAAAATAAAATTGATAGACTGTAATTCAATCATTGTTGCAATATGTGGAAGTAGTTTAATATTAGAATTTACAATTTGTGTGTTAAGATTTTTTGCTGAGGCACATAAATACCTTTGCAGAACAAATCATTTCCTCCAGGTTAGGCTTTGGTGTAAAAACTTTTAATAGCTGCCTGAATTGTTACAAATCTATAAGATTGCCTCAGGGTCCACAGAAAATGTTTTTACCAGCAATGCAATCTGGCTGTGCATCTGCCACCTGTTTATCTCAACCATCTCCCATTGCCCTGATGCTACAATCCTATCCCCGCAAGTTCCTGAAACCTCTTTCTCAAGCAACTACCCATCCATGAAGGAAGTAATTTCTTATCCCTCCAGAAGGGCGCACTTACCAATTCTCTATAAAGAAGTTGTATCTTCCATGCCACTGCTGTCACAGTCATAAAGACATTAAGCAAGGCATCTCTGTAGTACTGTTGCTCACAGAAAGTATACAAAGAGCCAACAGATGATGCCAGCTAATGCTATGTCCAAAGATACAATATTCTAAGTGACTGAAGAAAGTCCAACCATCACCAGGAGCTCCTATTTAGCTTCCTTCTGGTGCTGTCAAATGTCAAACTGGCCAGGGCAAGAGAGAGATTGGAAAAGATGTCCTTTGATGGTGTGGAGTCTTGGATGGCAAGTAAAATGCCATGGCAACAACCCAAATTTTTTCATTCTAGTGTGTCTATGTCATGTATTCAGCAACATGGACGGTGGAATGGAGTGCATCCTCAGCAAGTTTGCCAACAACATCAAGCTATGTGGTGCGGTTGAAACACTGGAAGGAAGGGATGCCATCCAGGGGGACCTTGACAGGCTGGAGAGGTAGGCGTGTGCCAACCTCATGAAGTTCAACAAGGCCAAGTGCAAGGTCCTGCACCTGGCTCGGGGCAATCCCAAGCACAAATACAGGCTGGACGGAGAATAGTTTGAGACCAGCCCTGAAAAGGAGGACTTGGGGGTACTGGTGGATGAAAAGCTGAACATGAGCCAGCCATGTGCGCTGCCAGCCCAGAAGGCCAACCGTATCCTGGGCTGTATTCAGAGAAGCATGGTCAGCATGTCAAGGAAGGTGGTTCTCCCTCCCTATTCTGCTCTTGTGAGACCCCACCTGGAGTACTGCATCCAGCTCTGGGGACCTCAACATAAGAAAGATATCGACCGTTTGGAGCGAGTCCAGAGGAGGGCCACGAAGATGCTCAGAGGGCTGGAGCACCTCTGCTATAGGGACAGGCTGAGAGAATTGGGCTTGTTCAGCCTGGAGAAGAGAAGGCTCTGGGGAGACCTCATTGCAGCCTTCCAGTACCTGAAGGGGACTACAAGGAAGCTGGGAGGGGACTTTTTACAAGGGCCTGTAGTGACAGGATAAGGGGTAACAGGTTTAAATTGAAAGCGAGGAGATTTATACTGGGTATCAGGAAGTTGTTCTTCACAGAGAGGGTGGTGAAGCACTGGAACAGGTTGCCCAGAGAAGTTGTGGATGACCCATTCCTGGATGTCTTCAAGGCCAGGCTGGATGAGGCTTTGAGCAACCTGGTCAGGTGTCCCTGCCCATGGCAGGGGGGTTGGAACTAGATGATCTTTAAGGTCCCTTCCAACCCAAACCATTCTATGATTCTATGATTCTATGTGAAGCACTATAGAGAAATAAAGGCAAATTTCAATAGCCATCATAAGATGCATGACATGTATGCATGTCCTATTAATGAACATACGTATGCTACAAAAAACCCACTACATTTGTCCGTGTATTATCTGTGATTTGTCCAAAGGATTCTGAGTTTTTTATATATGAAAAGCACATCTGTCCCACTCTCCGATAAAGAAATTTCTAATGAAGATGTGCTCCAATACATTGGAAAGACACATAGAGCAGCTTAGTTATACTGAAAGTGGTAAAAAAAATAAAATCAGTCATTAGAAATTAGCACACACATTCCACCAATTTCTTTAAAGTCTAATTTCATATCTCTATTGATATACATATCTCCTCTGAGCTGAAAAATCCTGAATGAGGGAAAAAAGTCACAATAATTAGAAGCACATTTCACAACCCACCACATACACAATTGTTTATTCAAAATGGGAAATATTTGTGTAGTGAGAAAATTATATGCAGACTATGTATTTTACATGTAAATATTTATTATTATTGAAGCCTACACAGAAAGATCATCAGTTCTGTTTTATAACATGTAAAGCACACTACAAAAACCACCAAACCAGTTTTTCAATATAGGACAAGTGCTTCTACAGAACATAAGGTATACTCACTGGTTTATTTAGATGATGTCCTACAGAATCTGCTAGAGTTCCTATAGCATCATAAAGAATGAGCAGGTTTTTATGCTGGTATTTACTAAATGCGAAGACCAAAGTGTCAAGTATATACGCAAGGTAAGGAACAAGCTCTGTACAAGCCTCCTCTTCTAGAGTAGCAAAGGCACTGAATGACAAAAAACCCACCCCAAACAGGTCAGTCAGTATCTTGGAAAAAACAAAACAAGACCACCCCAAAATACCTCATACTACCCATTTCTGTTTAAACATAAACCCTGTTTAGTCCTCAAATTCCTCCAGGGTATGTTTTCAAAATGGTATTACTGAGACAAATTCAATCTGTTTTCATTAAACACAATGATTCAGTTCTTACACTGTGATGAGCAAGATTTAAAAATAATCTTGTAAAACCTGTTATGTATACATGTTATCTAATTCTGCTTTATGAAGAAACTTTCTTGGCAGTCTGTTGTGTACACTCCTGGCCCACGCAAACTGACACGTAAAAGCTTTCTTTCTACACAAGAGGGGTACCCATTCCATTAATGGTGTGTCCATTAAATATATATATGTATTTTTAAATATCAGCAGACAAGGGGGAGAAGGGCATCTTACCTCCAAGCATCTCCTTTCAAGAGAAAGGGAATATCCCTTGAAATAACTATTACTCAAATGATTTGGTAATCCTGAGCTAAATATTAACAACATCACTAATGCAGTGATAGGATAGTTTTCCTTTGTCAGCAGTATTGACCTAGTTTATAGGCATATAAAAGCCAGATTTCTGGCCAATGAGATTTCAAATATTGAAAATAAACAGGTGTCACGTACAGATAATTTCTTTTACTGCAATAGATTGTTTAGTTTGGCGATTCATATACTCTGAAAACAAGCTGGACAAAAGAAATACAAATTATCTGTTTTCATTTTCTTACAACTCGGAGTAATTTGTGACTACTTTAGAAGCTGAACCTATTTCAATTTAAAAGGAAAAAAAAAATACATTGAGAGCTAGAAATGGAGTCATGCATTCATCAATGAAGGCATTGAAATAGTTTTCCATGAAAAAGCAGTGTTATGGATAGCGCTTTTTGTTTAAGCTTTGACTCACCTGCAGGCAGCTTCTTGTACTCTCTTGTTACTATCCAAAATACGCTTTAGCAACTCAGTCATTAACGGCTTCAAGTAGGTGTCTGGGGGTTGACTAACTACCCCGTGTGCATAGCGACTAAGAGTCCAGCATGTAATGGAGCGCACAAGAGCCTTTTTGTTAGAGAGGCACTGAATAAGGTGAGGGATCAACTCAGGAAGATATGGGATCATACCCTGCATGCAGCCTAGAAAGAAAAATATAGCTATTACAGTACAAGAATTAGAAAATGTAATAGGGCTTTTTCTTATTTCATAGAAGGGACATATTTTCATCCTCTATCATGTAGTAATACATTTTAACAATACACAAAGCAAGTCTACCCAATTTATGTTAAGTCCTAAAAAGAAACCTCATCATAAACAATAATTAAAATCCCCAATCTAATTTACATTCATTTCAACTATGTTCTACTTCAGTTATTCCCCAATCCCCAGAAATTCTGCTTTATTAAATGGAGTATAGCAAGAACATCCAAATAAAATTAGTTTATAAAGCTTGGAAGTCTTATGCCAGTCTACTCAAAATGACCAAATCAACAAGTAGAGAAAGATTAGGCCTTGATAACAAATCATCATATCATTAAAAAGGATTCCTCAAGAAATTAAATTTTCTTCTTGTTTTCTCCTAATATCACACAAAAACTAAGCAGCAATAAAAGCTACACACTTCAAGTCAGCAAGGGCTGTAATACACTGAGATTTGCCAGCAGTACTAACTTTTACTTTGCTTGACTTGAAATCAAACCCAACAAAAAATGTTTTCTAGCAACAAAGTATGTTCACTAGGCACTGTAGGAAAAGACAGATAATCCAGACATGGTCCCAAACATATTCCTTCACTTTGCAAAATGAACAGATGCTGGAAATACAGGCAAAAATCCAAGCCTGTGAGTAAATACAAAGAAATGGAAGTTATCACATTTAAATCAGAGAACCATCCATAAAGAACAGCTCAGGGCACTGAAGTCACGGCACTGGTCTTTTCCATTTCTGAAAACACTGAATGAAATGTAAGGTTCAAATTTATTAAATATTCCTGTTGTATCAAATAAAGGTAGTACTTCATGAGAGACCAATAAATATATGATGCAGAATTAAGAAAAGGAGGATTAAAAGCAATCATCTAAGTTATTTAACCTATGAAACATGCATATATTTGAAAATGAAAAATGAAACAAGTAACTGCAGTCACCAACTAGTAGTTGTAGACATTAATCACTAAAACCAAATCGGCTAAAAACATATACTTGTTTGCACAAGTAAATACACCTAGAAGGAATTAGAGCTGCTTTAGAACCAATCAAAAATTCAGCAACCTCATATGCACTTCTGCCTTACCTTCAGCAATTGCCCCAAGAACAAGGATACCAGATTCTTTAACTACCCATTTGGAATGGAAGAGCAATTCCTTCAAAAGGGGCAAGATGTGTGGCAGAAGTTCATCATGAAATACATTAGCCAGGACATCTAGAGCAGCAGCAGAACATTTCCCTGAGGGAAATTAACAATGTTAATCTCTGCTTATTATACAAGCAGTAAGTAGTTAGACAGTATAAACCTCATTTTAACTTTGAGCTGCCAGGGCATTAGGAGGAAAGATACTTCCATGTCATTACAATACACAGGGATCCACTATGCTCTGGAGCAAAGCCACAGCTCTTAGAGCAAATTTTGTAGCATTTTTATAGCCACTTATCGTGGCACACCACTAAAAGGACTTACACACTGGGGATATTATAGCACTTACTGACAGGAACCACACCATTATACAGAGTACATAATTTCAGGATGGTGTAACACTACGGAAGAGGGAAGGTCTGTGACATGAATGTAACATAGTGAAGAAACTAAGGAGAAAGGAGAAATAGCCTAAAAATATTAGCAATTGATTAAAAACAAAAAGTTCAAACATGATCCATGTCTCAAAGCAAAAAAAAAAAGGCAAAATCCTCAATCTCTATAGGCTGAAATAAATTTGCTGACCTCTACTCTGAGCTTTTATATCTTACTCCTAATTCTGTGATGCACCAATACAAAGAACACCACCTTGAAATTTGTTTGGAAGTTTTTAATCTCATATTTTTAGCATACAAAAGCTCATAAAAGAACAACTTCAAAACATGCTTCAGAAATCCTTACTCTGGTTTTCTGTTGTGGTGCTGTCATGTCTAGAAAAATAATGCTAAGATGGATTTATAAAGAATGCTTTTATTGCAGAATTTATACTGCCCTTTGCTTATTATCTCAGTTCCTTCTTAATCTGTCAGAAATGATCCAACTGGAACAAAAGTATATACAAGACTAGTAATCAAGCAAAATGTATGTAGCAAATGTAATATACAAAAAACCTAAACTGGATCTAAACTGCTAGTAGACCCAAATAGGACACATAACTTCTCATATGGGAGGTAGCAACTACTAGAATAGATAATAAATACAAAACTTCTTCTGCTCTGCTCCTAGATGATGTCCAACAAGTTTGAATAAAACAAAACATGAGCCCTCAACTCGGAGCAGATCTCCACTGCAAAGCAGTAAAAACCAGCACAGACTCCCCAAGATGAGCACCTACTGCTTTCAGCTAAGACCATTTTATCTTTCTACTAGAGGAAAGGCAGGCTCCCATATTTAGTTACCAGGTCTCATTAGGAAGCAATGCTGCTAATTGTCAGGCTGTGCTGATGTTTCCCTCTCTGTTCAAATTGGAAGTCAAATATAGAACACTGGATAAGAAATAGGGCACACAATTCTGAATTTCAGATAATCCAAATTCTCTCAAGTCCAGATGGCATACATGAAAACAGATCTCTCAATTGTCCTGTTCTCTCTCTTTCCTAGTCAGCTTTAGTTTCCTCACTATCTTAACCAAAACTGTGGACCACAGGGCATCCTCTGTAATTTCAGTTATGTTTTTCAGAAAATATGTATTTAATTCTGCAATCTCTACACACAACAACAACTACAAGAACAGCATTATTAATTTAAAGCTATTTAAAAAAAAGATAGTTTGCAAAAGCAAGCATATTTGTGCTTATTTTCTTCTAAATTAATAATAATAATTTCAAAATTTCAGATATCTCAAAGTTGTTTGATCCATAAACTTCAAGGTATGTTCATCTGTACTACATCTGAACTACTGCTAATGGCTGCCAGTAGTAGCATGTTCAAATCAAGGGTAAAAAAAAAATTATTAAAAAAAAAAATCATACACAAACCAGATTTAGAGGGAAGACTGAAGTAAAAGAAAGCATTATTAAGCTTCCCCAAGCTAAGAACAATGCGTATGTGCATTGGGTTTGTGTGGCAAAGTTTTGGTAGAGGGGAGGGAAGCTGCAGGGGTGGCTCCTGTGAGAAGCTGCTAGAAGCCTCCCCCCTATGTTCAATAGAGCCAATGTCAGCCAGCTCCAAGACGGACCTGCCACTGGCCAAAACCAAGTCAATCAGCGATAGTCATAACGCCACTGGGATAACATGTTTAAGGAGAAAACACACACACACTGCTCTCCCAACCCTGAGAAAAGAAATTGCAGTGGAAAGAGAGAGTGAACTCTGCAGACACCAAGGTTGGGGGAGGAGGAGCTCCAGGTACTGGAGCAGAGATACCCCTGCAGCCCATAGGGAAGACCATGGTGAGGCAGGCTG